CCAATCAGCAAACAGTCAGTACAGAGTAAAAATATTTTATACAAAACCAAGGAAATAAAGTGGATACGCTTCTTATACGTGGTTCAAAAACTTGTCAAGGTTAGATAGGAGTTCAGAGGATCTAAAATCGTAATGCATGCAGTAGAGGAGATCATCCATATCGCTACAGAATAGTCGGCCTCTGGAGCCATGATAAAGTCTAAAAAACTCTTTCAGCCTCGACCACATAGCTTCAATATTGTTTATGTGCACTCCAGTTGTTGAGTGCACAAAATGCTACTTGTGGATAACTACACGATGCACATAATCAAGCCTATGTAGGAGTCTGTACGCCTTCCAAACATCCGTATATATTGTAGTACCTGGCTGCAGCCAATGTTACTGGTGCTTTTATTATCCAGTTCGCAATAAATGTCGTAATTTGCCTTAGTTATGAATTATATATGGGGTTTTCATCACGAACTGACATCAGCTAAAATGCCAGAAATTTATTTAGCCAAATGGATGAATGGCTTTCGCGTTAAAATTCGAGATCTATTATCTTATACCTTATTGATTCGTCCACAAATTATAGTCTCGCCGTTTTATTTGTTGTAGCCGCTCAATTATCACGTTTTGTACAAAATTCCCTGTGAACCGATCGTATGTTAGGATTAAGCACTAAACTTGGCGCCATAACCTTAAAATCTCTAAAACGCTTCTGATTGGCTCGTCCATAAATTAGAGTCTCGCCATATTTATTACTGAACATGGAAGATAATAAAATTTTCAATGCATAAGTAGTAAACTAATTTTCATTTTAGTATTTCTACAAGTTATTTTAACACAAAGTTTGATCTTGTAATAATCATTATACGAGTGTAAACATATGAATAAATCATCATGATAATATAATGAATAGGATATGTATTAATTAAGCTAAACATCAAGGATCCGTAAATGACAAAACTTTTATGCTTTCTTAAGTTAATAATCATTTCTGAGAAAGAAGCAAATAATATTAATGCATAGCTGATTTTTCTGACAATAATTCTTAATGTAAAAAAGTTGTTTTATTTCACTTTGAAAAAAAAAGTTTCTATAGTAAACACAAGGTTGTGATTGCGTTATTTTATAAATCCATTAAAAGTAAAAATTATTTGAAACTATACATTGTTCATTCTATGTAGTTGAGCTGTTTATAATTAAGAAAAAAACCTCACTACGTATGCAGTAATTTAACTCAGTTATTGTGTTTGGAAATTAAAAGTTAGATTTATGTTTCACTTTACGTCAACAGCAAATGTTTCGTAGATGTGCAGTATGACTAAATCATTATCTTAATGTTTTGATGCCTTTTGTGAATAAGATAGCATACGTTACTTATTTAGAAAGTCTGGAATCATTTTTCGAATCATCGATTTTATTCGTTAAACATACTAGAAGGATACTAACAATTACAATGTAACGTAGTCGTAATATTTGAATAATATTAATATTAAACTTGAAACAGTTTAATGTTACAAAAAATAATAATCATTTTTGACAAGTAATTGCAAAAAAATTAGTCGTATTAAGTACAAATTTACAGGTCTACGTCTCATATAATAAATTTTTATGTCGATTATATTGATAAATGCGAATAAGGTCAATTGTATCAATTGATGTTTAGCAACATTTCATTTCGATGTAATTAGTAAAGACTTACATTTGTCTAAGTGAACATTGCAAAAAATATTAAGACATTGTTAGTAAATTTTGCATGTACTATGGTTAGACAGATTAGTGTTCACTAGGTGATATAGACATTTATTTTCAATTAGTTTGTGATTATACCTCTAAACTAATATATGTATATATGATTTACTTATTCGTCTCTTGATTCTTACATAACTAATACATTAGTGGCCATTCATCAAAATATTTTGTTAGTTCCTTCTTTTTTATATATTATACAATGTAGCATCCAATATCCAGTCAGAAGAAGCACACTGAATAAAGATCTCCGCGCAAGTGTTCTTTTTGCTAAGTGAGTTTGTGCAGCTTCAACACTCAATGAGTCGTCTCAACGAAGTTCGTATTGCTTTGTTCATGGAGCGTCGTAGAGGGTCTAAACGAATTTAACCACTTGTATTTCATCAGCAACAAATGATCTCTTTATGACATTACGAATAGGATGTACGCGACACAAAATATGGTGAGAGTTTGGATACACTTGAGTTACAGCAGAAGCTATTACAGGTGAGTCATCTGTGACAATACCAACCAACTCTTGATTGTTAGTTGAACGTCTGAAGAACGACAGGAATTACGACAGAAAAGCAGATTTTCGCGACTTATAAAGGCAATAAAAACAGGTATTGCCATTAAATTCATATCTAATACAACTACTTGATACAAATATAAATTTTCATTATTGGTTTGGTAGGTCCCGTCAAAATCAACAACATCGAGAAAACGAGTTGTCAAATTTATTTGATAAGCAGTTGTGAAGAAAGAGTACCGAAAATAATTTTCTTCATCAATTTCGTACTCACAAAACCCACCAAGTGACATGATGTGAGCTTCCAATTTGGTGCAATCATCTAGCATTTACAATATAAACCGGCATATTGCTTACCAGGAAGGTTGGCCTGTGAAAACACTTTGTGGCATATGTTAAAAACATCTTGGGGATTCTGGCGCTTACCATAAGATTGGTAAACGAAGTGCACAATATTGAATGCAGACGTCCCCAAAATAAGAAGAGGTCGCATTGTTTCAAATTCCGCGTCCGTTAACCTACGCATCCACGAATTGTTATCGTACCCCAGGGAATCGCACTCATGATTGTAATGCACATTCCCACGAACAACAGTTCAGTAACCCTCAATCAACTTACAATTGATGAAGGCCCGACATTGACTGCTAATAGCAATCCTTCATGAACAATATAGTAACACTATTCAAATTACCTCCGACTAATCGGCTGTGAGGATCCGCTGGGTGTTTTACGGCCATTTCGCCATAATACAAATTTAATTGGGACGCTAGCAGTGATTTAGCATAACTGACACTGTAGATTTAGCTGCTTATCAAGTTGTATTATTATTTCTCAATAATTGAACCTAAAAAAGGGCTTGATATATCAACGAAAATCAAACCTTGCACGAGAAATGTAAAATAGGACACTGAAACCTAGTAAATGGAAGGGTCATCGAGGCTAATAACACTTTTAACTTTATATATATAATTAATAACTATTTTTAGTAACAAGTGCAAGACAGAATACATAATCTGTATAGAAAGATTGAAATGTGCGGCTCGTCTGCTTCACCATCTGTCTGTCAGTTCAATAATTTAGTGAACCTAATATGAATGATAAAGGAGTTGAACTTTAGATCCCGTTGTTTAACCTCCACTAATATAATCAACACAGGGAGATAAGACTTGCATGCACTAAACTCTTAACTCTACTCAAACAACTAACAAAATCAAATAAAACTTACTATCTTTTATAGATCAGCCAGGAACAGAATGTTTATTCATTCATAAACTTGTATAGATGGCATACTCCCATATCAAGAATAATTCATATTCAAGGATGACGCTGAAATAAAACTCGTTAAACATAAGAACTTATGTTATATTGTTACTCCACTACTGATTAAACTAAAACGTCGGACAAATACGATTTAGCTCTGAACAGAACAAATCATAACGGAAAAAAGTTAACTGTTTTACTGTCTGTTCTTATCAAGTAACGTTTGATTCAGAGTAACTGATAACCTTGATATGTCAGCCTGTTTAAATAACGCCGATTTATTCTGCAGAATAAAGTAATACGCCAAAAAATTGGTATTTACAAAACCATTTAATGTAACTGACTTTTCTCCTCTTATCAAATAATTTATAGCAGAGCAAACTTGCCAGATTAACTTGACTGTATACCGAATTAGTGAAGTAATCTTGAATCAACAGTAACTGTAAAAAGTTTATTTCCCTTTAAACATAATTTTGTTCTAACCAACTATATTTGACTGATCATAAAAACACTTAATTGAAAATTTCAAAGTGAGATATACTGAAAAACGATTAATTTACTGATGTATAATATTCAGAACATTATGCTACTAATGTTCCATAAACAATAATTTCATCATAGATATTTATTATAATTGGTAATAAAATATGAACGATTTCTAGCTAATAAACACAATTATTAAAAGAGTTCAATTATCAAAAAATTAACACTAAACACCTTTTCGAAACCATAGACATTAAATTAAAAAGGGAACTATATCTAACCCAACCTAATCGTATTAAATTTCCTATAATTCTTTACAATATCTTTAAATAATTATTTACAACTAACTAGAATGAAACGATTTCAGAATAAAAATGAATGAAACATTTAAATTATTTATTTACTCTGAAGAAGTGGTTTACATTAAGTCACGAAATGTCAGAAATATAACTTTTTCTACTCAGTGGTATATAACAGAAAATATATGTATTGTAAAACACTTATACTAATATTCGTCAATATTTGAACGAATAGTTTCGTAGAAATTGAATACACAGTATGGAGATATCATTTGGGAAAATTATATTTGAAAGTTAAATCAGTCAGCTACAATGTAGGACCAAGCACATATATGCATCAGTTCAAGTTGCCATACCTCATTAGCACAACAAATTAAACACCGAATTCAGGAAAGTAGTTATTTCAATGTTGGTAAATTATTGAAATTTAAATACAATCAAACAGTTCTTCAATACTTACCTATTTTCAATAATTATTCATCTAGATTTGGATCATGTAATGAGAAAATGAAGTTTATCCCAATTATTCATCTAAGATGAATTCACAATGAAAATGTAATAAGACATTATACTATGAAAACTTACTTAGTCATATAATTTTTGTCACCTTATGATTCAGTCAAAAACTACTCTTTGCAAACATTCCCCCCCCTGCACATCATATCAATCTAAACTGACTGTACCTTTACAATATTAAAAGAAAATAGAAAAGTTATTTATGAACAAAAAAACATTTTTTTATTCGAAACTGAAAAGATCAGCATGATATCAATAAATAAAAATATTCTACAGTTCAATAAAGCAAATGATCAAAGACATTTAATTAGTCTTTTAGCAAACACATTGAATTACATGTCTATTTTTGTTTTTGCATATTCAGGAGAAATGAAGGCAGGAAATGAGATGATTTAGATGAAAAAGATGAAGAATATGAAAAATAAGAACAATAATAAAGAGAGAAAACAAAAATATCAGCTTTTTAATGATAATAATATTAATGTCAGTTATAAAATTTTAAGACAGTGTTTCCTAACACATTTAATGTAAGACTATAAGATGAATCGAAAATGTTTTCAGACATTCTGTTTTCTTATTTGCTTCCCTTTATAACTAAAATATTGCCTGTAAATAACAATTAATAATAAGTAAATGGAAATTAAGAACAAAAGATTTCATGTGATGATGAAAGAAAATCTTATTCTACTCATAAGAGTATACACTGAATGTGTGATTACTTTAATAAGGAGCAAAGTTGAAATATATAACTACAGGAATTGGAGAAGCATCATTCAAATAAATTAATTCCTCTGTGAAATATATTCACAAGAGAACGAAAGGAATTTCGAAAACTCTAAAATGTACTATTGATAAACTGTTTTGAGCTTCACATCGATGTCATCTGGTGTGTTATAGTGTCAAGTTAGAATCTAATGGTGATGGGTGAAAGAGGGAAAATGGGAAACTAAAGTAATGAGATCCACAAAAAAGGAGAAAATGCCGGTTAGAAAATTCTTTAATATGGTGAAAATGAAATTTAATAAAGGGATATTCAATTTCGTCGCCAACCAGTTGTTATATGAGGATTAGACCAGTCGGCAACCGGGATACTAGCACTCCCGTATTGTTTAGCAGAGGTACGATTGAACACAGGAAGCAGTTCATCAGCTTCAGCAGCATTACGTTTTAAATATACTATAGCATCAGTTCCGTATCCTTCTACGCTGGATAGTATAAGATCACCATTGAAGTACTTTGCATATAATCGACTAAGTGGAAGACCATAACCATAACCTGCCATCGGAGCACTGGTTCCCTGACCAGGCGGTCTGGGTTCCATTGACAATGAAGATGTTTCACCGCATCGTTTAGCCTGTCCGGCAGTTGTATAAGTGTAATTGAAAACTAAATCCATTTGAGAACGTGGGATACCACCACCCAAATCAGAAATCTGATTTCGAAAAGATTCAAAACAACAGCAACAATATCACGACTATCTATTATTACTATCATAACTCTTGACTAGTCACAAATATTTAGACAGTAAATAGGTTATTATCAAATACACCAACTCAATCAATTATCAACCAATGCAACTGACTGATACCAACTGTTGAGTACTGCTTGTATTCGAGGACGAGTCGTACATTTCAAAGCTACCACTAAAGTATGACTATAAATAGTGAGAAGACTCACAGGGGAAGAAATTGACTGATAGTCATATGTAGTACATGAATTAGGCATAAGCGACGATTCCTGAATAAATAACAGTAACAACAGTGAAGTTAAAGACAGTTTTCACTGAATTCACATTATTCAACAAAGTTGGTGAGGGTCGAATGGTACCATTCAATTGTACGGTACTTTATTGGAAATTCATAAGATTCGGATTTCTAGATCAAATTTATTCCCTACTTCTATTTACATATTCAGAATTCACAAATTTCCTTTCCATAATTTGTACGCGAACAGGTTTAATGCCGGTATTTCAATGTCAGCTAATGCAATACTTTATAGCATTTGAGTCTCCATTCCAAAATTTTAGACTATATATATATATATATATATATATATATATATATATATATATAGCGACCTACAAAATTAGATTGCCGTCAAAAAACTTTAAATTCCTCGGTGTTTCGTTGATGAAAATCACTAGCTGTACAAGTCAGGAACTAAACTACATAGTCAATATTACAATCTCATCTTTTCAAAGCAATAAATTCTAACATCAAAAATATAAATGACCAAGAGATCACGCTATTACACAAAATATGTAACTAAATGAAATTAATTAGGAATCCATATTGAAATCATATACTATTTTATCGGGTATATCACTTAAAATCATAGACTGAAACATATGATATCAGTGACATAAAGATAACAAGTTTGCTCGTAAAGGTTCGACATTGGATCTCTGGTGGAGTAGAGTATGCACTGTTGAGGAGGCTGTACAGTACGCCCTGGTTTCCAAAAGCTGTTGAATTCTTAGTCACTGTGTGATGCAATCTTCTTCCTTACAACGTTAACTGTTCAGTTTTGTACTAAATGTAATCATTTCGAAACATATATTCATACTCAAAAAGCCCAAATACAACACTTTAAGATGTCTCATCAGAACAGAAACATCTCGTCTGTCATAAAACTAAATTAGACGCGATTTACATCAAAGAACCTCAACCTTTGGAAAATAACTTGGTAAGTATGAAATCGCAGGAACTGCATTGCAGCTTTATGTCAGTAGCGCCCTAACTGAATGCAAAAGAAAGTACATTTTTCCAAGTTCCATTACAACACCAGATGGCTTTTTCCGAGATACACAGGAGATTATGAACATTTCATGCAAAACACCCGTTACGGTTTATAAACAGACACTACGATAACTTTAATACAATGTAATTATAATCACAATGTTTAATCTTCTAATTCCCAATTGCTAGTACAATTATTACAATTACTTTGATAGTCATTATACCTATCTCATCTCGTCATACTGTCGTGGAATATCGACTTGGATTAATGGCTCTAATTTATCAGTCATTCAGTAATAATCAACTTTTACTATATATACACACACATTGATGAAGACATTATAATATACATAAAACAATATTGGGGTGTAAATCATTCTGAATTATTCTTACTTTGATCGCCACATTTTCCTGACCAGTTGCTATCAAGACTTTAATGGGAGGAAGTTGGTCAGCCCTACTATGCTGCTCCACCACTGCTCGCATGGCATTCTATGAAGAATGAAAATTAACACAAACATCGAATATTAATCCTACATATACTAATAGCAATACCTAAGTTGTATTAACTCATAAAAGTAAGTTTAAAATAGGATACAAATTACTTTAAAATGAGATTTTGAGAAGCACACGAATAGCGATCTAATATTCTGGCTAATACATGGACTGGACAATAACCAACTTGTTTAAATTTCAAATCCTCACTCATTTTAGTTCCACAACTCCTTGTAATGAAAACAGTTCGATTCAAGCTCTACACTTATTGATCAGAAAAGAACCTTTTTATGTTACCTTAAACGATTCTTTGAAAGTGTTACTAATGACATCATAAATTAAATGATAGGCTAATTGGGTCGAACAGGGGGTTTATTAAAATCAACTAAGAGGATCTGTAGTTTTTCATAAACAGTAGGTAGAGGGAAACTTCCGGATAATGAGGACATAGAACAATAAATTCAAGGACGTTGTTGTAACCCGATATCATTGAGCCGAAAACGTACATCCCATTGGACATTTTCATATTTACATTTTGTAGCACAATCAGTTTATCAAGCAACTATAAACACAGGTTTTGTAACTCACCAGTGGACTTATCTATCACTCATTATTCCTGAAATAGGGTGCTCTACCAACACGTATAGAAAAGTCAACAGTAGAAAGGAAAAACTGACGAAATATGGAACAGAGCTGCATTAAAGATCTTCATAAAATTACGATTAAGCTTTCGAAGTTATTAGTTCAAATAAAAGACATACCCACCCATTTCAACGGAGAGTTGTGACTAGAGATTGGATTACATTGGTTGTGATGCACTTTGCAGTAAGGGGTAACTTAGTGAAGTTGTGACTTGTTTCAGAGAATATCGAAGATAAACGAAATCACTAAGGCTTTTATAACTTATGGACTTGTATATTAAACGGGGAGCATTTGTCCATGGCATAATCTCACATTTATTCACACCCATCCATATACTCACTAAACCAAATGGTTTTCGACAAACATTACGATTTCATCCCCAAATTTGTTTATATTCACTGACTATATGTGATTCGATTGATTCGTTGTACTACCTAAACCTGTATTAACCTGTAAGAGACATATGGGGTCACGAAATGTCATAAAGTAGGACGGAACGAACCGCTGCGCAGTAAACACGTCCTTTGGTTGATAGACGGATATCTCGCCTACACCATAAATGACGCAAGTTGGTAAAAGCTAGTCGAGCCTTCTGTATCCGTGCTGAGATTTCGTCACACACCAGACCACAAGGGCTGATCAGACTTCCAAGATTAGTGAGGCGATCGACACGCTCAATTACTTCACTTCCTATCATTAGTTCGGGTGTCGATGCAACCCAATCCTGAAGCAACATTTTGCATTTCGAGGGGGAGAATCGCATCCCGAACATGCTTGCATTTTTGCTTAGAGTGGTCAGAAGACTCTGCATCTTGTCAGAGTCTTCACCAAATAGAGCTACGTCATCAGCATATTCCAAGTCAACAAGTGAATCTTTAAGTAAATTGTTACTACATTAATACTATAATAAACAAACTATATTATATTCAGTCTGTTTGAATTTGAGTAGCAATATTTTTATAGTTTATAGCACTTTTCGTTCGCCTATGAATATAAGCAACATGATCCTTATTTTGAGCAATTTATTATGAGGATATCGAAACAAACTACTTAAGTCACCTTCCCATTAATAATTCATCTCCAATTTTGGTCAAATTCACACATGAAAAAATTAACAAGATAAAAACTTACTTTCAGCAGTTCAAACAAAATATGATACAAATGCGAAGGTACATAGACAAATTCAATTTTTGCATTGTCACCTGAAAAAAACAAAGTAATCGAAACCCCCTCATTTTAATGGCAACATATATACTTTTATACAAATAATCAGAAACAACTTGAATAGTCCAACTTCATTGAATTCACCTGACATCAAAGCAGCACCTACAGACCTTTCCATAGATGTCACCCCACCAACAATCGAAGAAACCAGTCATCAGACAAATCAAGAGTGGGAAGCAACAGGACCTGACAACATACCACCTGAGGCACTGAAGTCAAACATAAAAGTAATCACATACATGCTCCACGTTCTATTCAGGAAGATTTGTGAGGAAGAACAAATGGTGAGACTAGAAAGAATGACACCTCATCAAGATACCAAAGAAAGGAGATCTGAGAGAATGTGAAAACTACGGAAGCATCACACAACTATCAGTACTAGGAAAAGTTTTCAACAGAGTGTTATTGAACCGGATGAAAGATTCAATAGACGTCTTCGAGATCAACAGACTAGATTCCGTAAGGATCTGTCGTGTACAGAATAAATCGCGACACCACAGATCATTGTTGAGCAGTCGGTTGAATGGAACTTGTCACCATACACCCACATCCTTGATTATGAGAAAGCACTTGACAATGTGGATAGGACGACCCTACAGAAACTTCTTCAACACTATGGTGTACCTGAGGAAATCGTAAACCTCATACGGAATTGGTACGACGAATTACAGTGCAAAGCTGTACATGGAGGACAGCTGACAGATGCATTCCATGTAAGGAACGGTGTAAGACAAGGATGAGAACACGATATCATGAATGCTAGATTCTCAATACCCTAATATTCATAATATTAAATATCTAGTCTAAATGAAGTGAAGTTTGAACCTACAGCCTAACTGTTGAAAATAATTAAGTAACCAGTGAACAACTACCTCATAAAATGTATAGCTACCACAACCCTAAAGATTAATGTGAATTCCTCTTTTGGTTCAACTTTTTCTAAACATGCGCAAAGGAAAAACGAAGATCCTCAAATATAATACAGAGAACACCAACCCAATCACGCTTGATGGAGAAATTCTGGAAGAGGTAGAAACTTTCACATACTTGTGCAGCATCATAGATGAACAGGGAGAATCTGATGCAGACGTAAAGGCGAGGATTGGCAAAGCAAGGACAGCATCCCTACAGTTGAACAACTTACGGAACTCAAAACAACTGTCAACCAATATCAAAGTGAGAATCCTGAATACGAACGTCAAGACAGTTCTAATGTACGGAGCTGAAACTCGGAGAACTATCACAAACATCAAAAAATTACAAGTATTTATAAGCAATTGTCTATGTGAGATACTGAATGTCCGTTGACCGGATACCATCAGCAACATCCTACTGTGGAGAACAAACCAGCTTCCAGATGGAGAGGAAATTAGGGAAAGACGCTAGAGGTGGATAGGAAATACATTATTGAAATTATCAAACTACATCACGAGGCAAGCGCCAACTTGGACTTCTGAATGGAAGAGGCAAAGTGGAAGACCATGGGACACACTGAGACCAGAATTGTAAGCAGGCACCAAAAGAATGAACAGCAACTGGAAGCAATTGGAAAGGACTGCTCATGACAGAGTGTGATAAAGAGTGCTGGCGGGCGTCTTATGCTCCTCCACTAGGGGTAACAGGCGTAAATAAGTAAGTTTTCATCGCATTTCAATCTTTCTTAGACTCATCAGTACTGAAAGGCATTAAAATAAACGAATACATGGAAATACATTTACCTTATTCCAAATAACCCTTTGACTTCCAGTCACACAACCAGATATCCCAAGGAATGTCTAGGATCAAAGTCATATTTGTCAATGTTAAGACCATACAGTTGTAACACCTGGAAATGATTCAATCAATCTACTTCCTAAAGTAAGGTTTCGATATACCAGAAAACCCAACTAAATATTTTTGTTTCATCCTCTTAATGACTTCTAGGTTATATCATATTGTGACAAAGTATTCAGTGATTTCAGCCCCCAGAAAGTAGCTTACCGCAGAAACGAAGCTAAAAAACATTCATTGAAAACTTGCTGGATTTATTTTAACCTCTGATCACCTTTTAGATCTTTTCCACCTACTTCTGTAAACGTGTATATTACCAAGTGAATATATGATCCCCTAATGTTACTGTACGATGAAAAAATATCGGACAAGTATACCATATAGGAGAGCTACCGACGTTAAGTTTTTTATTAACGATCCAGTTATCTATGTACAGTTTACAGCACCAACAGAAAGTGATGTAAAAAACAATCAGCCCAAAACCAGTAGGAATTCAGATTTTCTCCTTATTTTTTAAAATTCTTTCCTGGTTGATTTGACCTTGGACTGCCTGTTAGCTTTAGCGTTGGCCTTTCTTTATAGAGTTGTCAGTGCCACAGTTGAGTTCTGCTTGAACGTGTTCAGCAGCCGCATACGAACAATCGCTTTATGAACTTAACGTAGACCATAAGTAAAGCAAATGACTTTGGTTGATTTTCTGTCACGATACAGTCCTTGTTATTGACTTTCGAACACTGGTTGCATAGATTCATACTCTTGTGACTAGGAAAATGAGTTATCGGTCTTGTATTATTAGTCCATGAAGAAAATGTTTTGCGCAAATCCGACTTTACATTGAATATGTTAATCAACAAGCTTGACTCACATGCTTTGGCAAAGATACATAGCACTTGACCACAAGATAGGCAGCGCGATTCCAAATTTAACTGACATTTTTAGTAGTTTTTGTGACTTTGACTTTAGAGATAACCAAAGTAAAGCGTATGTCAGCGCTAATTTGGCACTGGTATCATTGTCAGGATACTTAGATGATATTCATTTATTTTGGCTGACTCCGCGTTACGGTAGGATAGAGCTAAACGATTATAAGCAAATTTAAAAGTTCGGTTAACTTTCCGTAAACAAACGTTATTCATTTGTTAGTGCGCTTATCTTGACATCTTAGTATTGATGTGTGCGCCGGTCTCCGTATTTGGCAGCATATGATGTGAATAGAACATGCATTTTTTTCTAAACTGGCCTGTGATAATCTATTCTCAGGCGCTCAACGTTTGTGCCGGATTCTATATTGATGATTACTGATTACAAGCTGTTGAAAAATGAAAAAGATGGTGTGCTACATAGCTCTACCAGCCCACTATTACAACCGCTTAGCTACACTGATAGAACTCAGGTCATATTAACACCCAATTAGTTAATCACAACGCAGAAAGTTTGTTTTAATGAAGTTTAAGAAACCAGCTGCTCATCATATGGCAGATAAATACTACCACACCCGGGTGTCTGGTTCCCGCAGGTATACAAGTGCCTTTCGTGAAATGTGATCCGACCAGTTTGAGATTACTTAAAATTATGTATAACAGCCTAAAAACACTCATACAATCCCTCAGCATCTCTACAAAACACCCGAAGCACTCGAAATTCCCAAATCTCATGCTTTAACCTATAATTACCTCGAAATTCTTTGTTATGAAACCTAGGAGGGCAGCATTTTACCAATGGAATAACAAAGATGTATCGAACATATTGGATTACAAAATCATTGAGCTATTTAAGTCATGTTATAACTTAAATTGCTAAATAATGAAAAAAATGATTACTTACATAAAAATAACTAACATAATCAAAAATATATGAAGTTTAAGAAAGCGTCAAATCTAAATTATTATGAACACCCACTAACCCTTAATCTGTTAAAATTAATGTTAGGAAAACCTGTACACATCCTGGAAAACCAATAGTTATTTTAAGTAACGTAAAATGTAGGGAGTCGTTTAGGTTAATAGTGAGGACGATATATTCGTAATCATTGGAAATGCATCCAATATGATAACTAAAACTAAAAAGCCACCTACGGATGGATATCATATCAACAGAAGTAACTACTTAATTTATAACCATGATTTATAGTTTTGAAGAATGTCTAAACGTACACGATCCAAGGTTGGTATACTCTATAATGATCTGCTTCAAGACTGTTAGAACATTCAACTTTGTTAAGTTCCAACGTACTTTTATTCAGACCTATAACCATGGTGACCAGTTGCACAGTTGAATATCATTAGTTAACTAACCAAAAATCTCAAGAAATTACGAGGATAATAATAAATAACTAATATTGACACTTTATCAGTAGTTATGTGTAATTCTAAAACAAAGTGAATCACCTGTTATTCGAATTACATAAATTTTTATTCGATGCAAAACTTTGACATATGATGACTACCAAGTACTAAAGTTTGTTGATTTTAGGTTTACTGCACTAAGTATAAAATTTGAAGACCTTGTACATAATTAGGCTTCATACTAGTGAAATGTATGTTATTATGCTGGTGGCTGTTGTCTCTCTACACAGCAAAACACTCGACTTTTATTCATACATTTACTGGAATAAAAATTTAGTGAGGTACCACAAGGGATTTCGAAGGATGATGAAATCCAATGCTACGGTAACTTTAAGTTATACCCCGAATTTAATACACTATAGCTTTACATTATTGACGAAACGTCACCTAGGAACAAATACTCGAGTCTCGTTGCTTTGAGTAAGTCCGTATATCGCGTCACATGTTCATTAATCGTTTTACAATCAGGACCATTGTGAAATGGGTTTCAAAGTACTGAACACCGAAAAACTAATTGGATTTAAGAACTTACCACTATGCACCCGAACCTTCATTTCAGGAGCCGCTGAATAGTAATGCTCGCAAAGAAATTTGGCATCCTCGTATGCATCATCCAATATTTCTCGAACATTGCAATCAGGATCAATCGAGCCTACGTATCTTCTATGTTTATTCAACTCTGAACCAAACATAAGCACTAAAATGAAAAACAAACGGTTGAAATTTCTAAGCCTCAGCTAAATGCCATTACACTAATTTTAAAATAGCTTAAATGTTACCCATTCATAGTCTTTTAAAGGGTTTAAAAACCCATTGTAAAGGATTTAAATTCTTAAATATTTATAAAGCTATTAGACAAAAAGTATAAACGGATTAAGTTAGGACATTCGGCCACATGATGTGTAACATGGGAACTTTCTACGCAGCAAAATACTAAATACAATCAACTGTTTTGAATAGTGAACAACTGAACAATGATAAACATTTGAAAATCTCATGGTTTAATATATACTTACAGTGCTGGCTAAGCAACATACGAATACTGATTCTCATCATATAAAACCTATCCAAGAAGTATTGCACCTGGTTGTTTGTAACTATGTCAGTCTTGTAGTTTTCCTGCATTTCCATTACACCCTGGATTACATACCTAGCATATCGAATAAGAAATACACGGAAACCTGTGCCATCGTTTCAACGACGGTTGTGTGACGACTACGTATACTGGCGAGGATTTCGTTAAATTGATTTAAACTTTTTTCGTCCCATTTTATCTTTTCGAAGTCCATCAATTCGCAGAAGCTTTGCTCGTACCTATAGAAGTATACATTTTTTTAATTAAACATACCATCGTCTCACAAGAGATGCAGAAGGAGTTCTGACGAGTTGTTCTGGGAGCAAATGGATTTCTTGCAAGATATTTGCTAGGCGAACAGGAAGTTCATAAGCCAAGAATGATGCAGACTCTTGAACCGAGCCGACTTTACCAAATGCAATCAGCTTTTTCAACGATAAAGGAGTGGGAGTGTACCCACCAAATCGTATAAAGTGGTCAGCAAATTTTCCACTCAGAATAAAAATAGTTTGAGATAATCGCATATCAAACTAAGACTTCCATAAGTGCATCTGTAACGATAGGACTTAGTGGCGAGCCCATTCAAATTGTCTTGTTTTGTCCAATATATGTATGATAAGTAAGTGTCAGCTAACCGTTTCCTTACAGCTCATGTACTGATATTGAGAAAATTGTACATATTTTCGTAGAATTCTGTGAAGGAGAATGTAAAAATCATTGTACTTTGCTTTAGAAAGCCCAGTGGGTCGTCAGTATATAATGAGGAACCAATTCACTACAGTGGCAAGTTGTATTTTTCTCGTCAATAATATGAGCCAAGCTGGTCACTCAGAGTGACGTCTGTGAAGGAAGTAATTTCCTACAGATGCAGTCCTTAACTATTGCCTGGGCTGTCGAGCACAGGGTCTTAGCGTAGGCAAATTTTCGCAGCGGAAAATGATTTCTCAAAATAAATAGTCCTGTAAGTCTTCGATATTTAGTGTTGAGTACGTGGGGATAAACTCTGCTTGTAACTTTTTAAGGGATACTGACAGTCCCATGTCCGATTAAAGAAAAAGCGTTGAGCACGGGACCACAAACCCGATCCCGTAAAAAACAATCTTGCTAAGACAACGCTAACCTTAATAAGCAAATTAAACCATTTGAACTCTGCTATCCGAGTTTAAGGAAGAGTTATGGCGTCATACGCTGAAAGCCGAGATTGTTTGGGAGCCACGAAATCGATGCCTTTCTAACAACTACAATGACAATCAATGTATAGGTGCCTTAAATGTCCAGACAATGTGGGAGACCATGAAGACCAATTAAATAGCTAAGCAAATGAGAAGATACGATTTGACAGTACTCGGAATCAGCGAAACCCATTGGACTCAAGCTGGAGGGCAAAGGTTAGGTACGGAAGAGATTCTGCTGTACTCCGGTCATGAAGAGGAAATTATACCACACACTCAGAGAGTTGTTCTAATGCTATCCAAAAAAGCATGTAAGACAAATACCAGTTTCACGAGAATCTGCAATTTATCACCTGGAAGTGCTCAGGAAAGGACCTGACAGTCCCGATAGGAGACTTAGACTCCAAGGTCGGAATGGACAACATCGGGTAAGAAGATATCATGAGACGATATGGACTAGGATAAAGGAACTAAAATGGAGAGATTTTAAATCTGTGTTCATTCAACAACTTCTTAATAGGTGGCGCAATGTTTCTACACAAACACATAAACAAAGCGACATGGGTCTCATCAGAGCACACCACAGACAACCAGATCGATCACACTTGCATCACTAAAAATGCCAGAAAGACAGTGATGAACATGAGAACCAGGATAGGAGCTGACAGCTTCAGACCGACACCTAATGGTTGTCAAGATGAAACCAAAGCTAAAAGAGTAATGGGCAACCGGAGGAACAGCATCACAAAGGTTCAATACAGTCTTCCTTCGAGATATTGACAAACTCAAGGAATTAAAGGTAACTCAACAACACACTTGCAGGTCTGAGCCATGCCATCTGATGGAGCGAATTAATGTTCCCGCTTTCTTCTTAGTTAACCTTATTTTCGTGTCAATTGCGGCATATGTCTATGTTGTGGATGCGGAGGAATAGACCAATAATTATGATGTTAAGTCCAATGATGTCCTTGGACTTTAAATGGACATTTCCTATTGGTCGATATCTGTTCACTTGTTGAATGTTGTACAAAATGTTGTTTTCTATTTTATGGTACGATGTGGTATGCTTGATTGGTATATAAACAAAGTATGTTTGAAATATAATGATTCATAACTCAGAGGCTGTGACTTGTGTTCTTGACTCAACTGGCTAGGACAGACAGCGAAGCAGGGCCAATCGGGGCACTAGGTCGTCCACTACGTGTTTTACGTGTCACTGTCACAGAAGCGATCGATAAATACGCTGCTTATCAAAACCTGCAGTCTCACACCCGTTATAACAGTCTACTCACTGATTATATGCTCTGCTTGAAAAGTCGTGTGATTAAGGTTCAACGCCACTACGCTGTTCTCCCATGAGATTCCAGGTATTAATAAGCTGAAGAATAAATCGAAAAAAAATTGTGTCAGCAACTGTTCAAGGAAAAGACGTAGTAATTCCAAAATGTTTGGTGTTATACTTAACACGCGAATAATGAAAATCTACGTGAAGATTATATAGGAGTTGAACAAAGTGGGATTGTAACGGTTAAAAATGATTTTATGTAGAGATATTTTAACAAGTCTCAGTGAGATGCGTAGTAATAGCCGTTGGTTAATAGCTTAACTTATAGGTAGTACAAGCATTTTGTGTTTAAGAATATAAAAGTAATCAGTATTACAGAAATGTCGACATAGGTATTATCTTCGGTTTAATTTATAAAGTCGGTTAACGTTTATTCCGGTATACCGTCCGTATGAGTTGATATCCAGTTGCATCTGTATTAGTAGGCTAACTGAGCAATCAAAATTAAAACCATGAGGAAGAAGAATTCCAACAAGTGTTCCAGTTAGTTTGTTAAGTTTGATACGGTTTGTTTAGTTGTGGTGATACTTTTTCAACTTCATGATTACTTAACTGTGTCAGAATTTAGCAATGCAACTGATACATACGAATGATTATCGAAAATTCTTTTGCGTGAAAATAGTGATAATTGTGTGCATTTTGGATAGATAGTTAAGAGCAACTCGTTAAACATGCGCGTATTCGTGAGAGACGTGCTCTAGACTCACTATTCTGATTTGCAAAAGACTAGTTGTTTATATTCATACCTACCGGTTGATGGTGCATACCAGTTGCAAGTGTGCAGTTTAGTATAAGGCGGAATACGAGTTAATTAAGATATAGCGATTATAAGTTGCTGAAATCAACTAAGCTTACGTGCAACATTTATAGGTGATATGGTGCTGCAAGATGACTTCGGTTAAATAAGTTTTTACAAGATGATTAACAGTGAGTGGTGCTCATATGATTATCAGGGAGAACAAATTGTAACCAAGGAGAATACACTCCTAACTCATATATATGGTAATGGCTTGAACCTTAGTCAGTGTCGAGGTAAATTTGACAGTGTTTTCAGTTTGTAGTAGATTTGCTCGACTGCTTGTACTTATGAGTTGCATTCATGGTTGTGTCGCTACATCTGCAGTTAGACTGACAATATTTTGAGATATTTACTGAATGAGCAATCGATAGAGAAACATACTGAAATCATCTGTAGTGGATGAAGGAACTATGGCATATGGAGGTTGGTTTTGGTTAATTCATTCCACTCTCATCTCTTATGGGCCATTGATACTGAAGATTACTTTCGGTGGTGACCGATGTAGCAATCCAGCTCCCTTTTACTTGACTACAATTGCCAATATCTACATAAATTCAATTCAACTACAAAGATGTCTAATTCTTGCGTTATTTCAATGTAATTATTATTTTAATCTATTTGTGTCCAATTAGTTCTAGTATAGTTTGATTGGTTATTGTTACTCTACATGCTGACTAATTTATATACAGATTTGCGTATTGAGAACAAAAGGTCTACTGTCTGTGTCCTTCCTTTATAGTAAGCTTCAGAGAGTGTCTAGTCTTCTCCTGAATTAGATACTCGAAGGGACAGATACTACTTCTCCATGTAACAGGTTTCAAGAATTGATGACTGTGTGAAATTTATTCTTACTTTCTGCGACCTAGCGAGAAGTCTTTGATCCACTTTAAAAGAGGTCCAGTAATCCCAGATTTTCTACATTCAAGAGTACTCTATAATTCAGCACCTTACTAAATACTTTGCTGAAGTCCATGAAGACAAAATCCACTGGTTATCTATAGTACACAGTCTCTGTCATTCGCTTGTAGCGTGGAGTCGAGTCGAGATTGACTATGAACACCACTACCAAGAAACACGTGCCAAGTAAATCAGAAGGCGAAGGTCGAACATAACCAGGTTTATTTCGTTGACGATCTCGTGGTATCGAACGAATACCAAGATCGTGCCAAGGAATGGTACAAGTGGAAGCAGGAGAAAGGAGTACGTGCGAACAGTACCAAAAACCGCGAAACAATGATGGAAGGTAATGGAAGCACAAAATGGCTATAATTAGCACAATTAAACAAAAGCACATTAAAACAAGCACTGGTACAGTTGGTTACAATAATAATTGTTTTTATTAAACCAGTCGTGTTCTCGTGATAAAATTGAGTCACTACAGGAGCCCCCCGCTAGAAAGGGTTTACACTTTCGATAAGTAGCGGTTTGATTCGTGGGACTGATCGGCTGACGAGCGATTGTAGGACGAAAGAATTGGCGAACAGGAAAGCGATCGTTGATCGTCGAGTTGCCAACGAAAGGTCTTTTTCGAAGAACGGTACCAGGAGCGGTGTGCTGTATTTGTTACTCGAGTTGGCATGCCACAGCAGAATGGTTTGTATCCAGGAACTGAAGATTGCGTCCGTAGGGGTCCGGACCAGAAAACGCTGCAGACGTAGGACGAAACCACGTTGAGCCAAAAGACCAGAAGCGACCATAACGACCAAGTTCGAGACCAAGCGTATGCCAAGCATTCGAAACCAATATATCGACTGAGTGCGTTGACAAGAGCATGGGTGATCAGGCCAGCTTTCGCCAAAGTTGACTGAGGTCGACGGAACCAAACAGGGATGGTCGAAGGCGTGGGCACAGGAAACAAAATGATCAAAAAAGAGAAGAGTGTAGCATGCGTGTAGCATAGGAATAATCCTACACCGTATCGGCTGTTCGCTGTGCGACTATTCGGGGAAGTGTATGGGCAACCGTACTCGGCGACCGGAACGTGAGACGGCAGTCTCGTTCGCGTCGCGTGAGCCTGCAATCTCATCCGAAGTCAAGGGCGGCGTAGTCTGCTGATCTGGACGTGAGACTATCGTCTCGTTCGTAGACGGTACAGATGACGCGTGCTGTTGACTGGGACGTGAGAATGAGGTCTCAGGTGTATCTAGCGTGGGACCTGAAGATGGTTTGAGTATCCCGCTAGTAGGTTTGATAGGTCTAGCATTGAATCTCAGGTTATCAGATAGGGCACTGTCATCGACGTGTGCTGGTTCGAGACTATCAATGCTGACGATCTCGACGCGGC